ACAAGGAACGTGGGTAGCAGTCGTAGGTATGAAAAATATATATTGACCCACTAATTAATCAATTCAAATCTCTATAATATTGTTATTAAAAAAAAAAAAAAAAGAAGCAGTACGTTTGTTAAAAAAGTATAGGCTTAATTCAATTTTTAGTCTATTAACTATCACTTTGATTTCATTTTAGTCTAGTAACTATGTTTTATTTCTAAGTGGTCTATTAACTTTCAGATTCATTTCAATTTCATCTACCTGGTTATCTTTGACGGAAAACTTACCATTCTGTTAGAGAACAGTTAGTCCTCTAACTATATTTATTTTGATTTTTTAGTCCTTAAATTTATATTTACTATAAAAACAACTTTTATACTTAAAATTATTATTTCTAGGCTTTGATATCGAATTTTTAATTTTTCTTAGGGTATTTTCATTAATTGTTTTTATTTTTAAAATATTATTAGTTATTCATTAGTTAGTAGTAGTCTGAATTAAGTTTTGAAAACTCGAATAAAAATTTGGTATCAGAGCCTAAAAATAATAATTTTAAGTATAAAAGTTGTTTTTACAGCAAATATAAATTTGAGGACTAAAAGATCAAAATAAATATAGTTAGAGGACTAACTAATTCTCTAACAGAATAGTAAGTTTTCCGTCAAAGATAACCAGGTAGACGAAATTAAAATGAATCCGAAAGTTAATAGACCACTTAGAAATAAAACATAGTTTCTAGACTAAAATGAAATCAATGTGATAGTTAATAGACTAAAAATTGAATTAACCCAAAAAGTATAGTAATTTTAATTGTCAATAATTAGCTAGTGGGTGGAGATTTGGTGAATAATTGGATAACAAGATAATAGTGGGTTTAATAATCATAGAAGGGAGGTGGGTTGTAGGACACTCTTACCCTACATACCAAGGCCTTTTACCTTCTTTAAGTTAAAGTCGTTGTGTTTTTCATTTTTCATCAACCATTAATTGATTTATGAACAAATTATGCGCCCAACCACTCCTAAAAGAAGAATAGAAGGCGCCGGTATATCTCTTTCTTCCATAATGTAGATTTTTATGGGGGGGATGGGTGCATGTACTTACTTCATATTAATTAAAGTTTAAAGCAATTGTTTTTGAGAAAAAAGGAACCTTACTTATGGATCACCACTTGTTAGAAGGGAACATAGCTCGTGGGTATATCATTTAAGTTTATGAGATACTCAACTACTCATCTTTGTGCATTAATATTTTATAGATAAAAAAATAAAGTTATGAATTGTGAAGTCGAAGTTGTTCCCCATGCTTCAATTTTAAAGGATGTTCGAGAAAACATGAAAAAAAGTAATTTGTTTTAAAAGTAAATTTTTTTTTATAAATTTCAAAAATTAGAGAGAAATTTCAAAAAAAAAAAAGACTTTTAAAATGACTTTTAAGTAAGTTCTTAAAAAAATTACACTTCTAAACTTAATTAATTCATTCCATTTGTAAGATAGTCAAAAACTAATTAATATGTATAGTTAAAATAGACAATATATATTCTAAGTTTTATATAGGGATTAGTAGTACTTAGAAACTTATTAGATTATATATTTATTAATATCTACACAATTTATTTGTAAATACAGATAAAAATTAAGAAAAGATATACCATATAATCCTATATTATATATCAATTTTAATCTACTCATTCTTGGGTTCTTGGGTATGTATTAATATTTGTTTTTGCAAAGATTCATGCATGTATGCAAGATTTTAATTATAGAGTCTAAAATGATTCAGATTGGAGATGATGATGTGTAATCGGGTTGGGGAAGGGGACAGAAAAAGCATTGAAAGAAAACAAGGTTGAGTAGTTTTGCAGATTTGTAACAAGATTTAGGGACCCTTTTCAAGTGCAACGGCAATAAACATGCTCCATGCATCAGACACACACATCCCCACCCTTCATTTCTAATCCATTCATTTTCATTTAATTATAGCATTGAAAGGCTTTATATATCCCTAAAAAAATCTGAACTTAAACATATTATATATCCAACAATCCATCAGCTCATATTCATGATCTATATTAAAAAATTATTTAAATATTAAAAAAAAATTCAGTCAAGTGGGTTTTGTTTGATGGACCAATGCAGTGTAAGTTTTTTTTTTTTTTTTATTCCATAAGATTGATTTGTTCAATTCTAAACATAAGTATCTTTTTTTTATTTAATTTTAAAGTTTTTACTATCAATTTTATAATTAAATAAAAGAGTTATTTATACTTTTAGTTATAAAAATTAGAATTCAATCTCTGATCCTTACACATTTAAAAAAAAAAAAATTCAATTTTCACTACATATTACACTTAAATACTGTCAAGATTTAAATTTAAAAATTAGGATATCTACTTCTATACCCATTTTGCATAATGCATAGTCTAGGTGTTTTTTTTTTTTTTTTCACAAAAAAATGATTAGAAGTTAGGTTAATATCTATTTTTGATAAGGTTCGAACATTAATTAAGAGGTGCAATCCACCAACAATCTTGTTGGGTTACAGTGGCCACCAATAAATCATAACAAAAAAATACAGTCTAGATGATAGTTTCATTAAACTGAATTAATACATGTTGCTTTATTTAAAATAATAATAATAATAATAATAATACATGTTACTCTGGATCAGTAGGCCCCAATTAGCAAGCGACGTGTCAATACTAAATGTTACCCCTGGACCAGTGGACCCCAATTAGCAGGCGACGTGTCACCTTAGTTCCCCGTTAGTTAACGTTTCCATGTTCTGCGTTCAGGAGCCAATGGGAGCGTCCCTACACAATGACTCAATTATCCCTTATCTCTTGCTCCATTTGGCATTTTCGTTTTACTGATTTTAAGCCCCATTAATGGTGTGTGTTCTTCAAATTTTGTTTTTTGTTTTTTCTTATCTTTTGGGTTTTTTTTTAATAGAATTTTGCGTTTACTCCTAGTATAATTAAAATTTTTAAATATATTCTCCTTCCATTTTCAATTTAATTTAGTGTTTTAAATTTTTTTAAAAAAATATTTAGTAAAATTTTTTAAAAAAATATTTAGTAAAATTTTTTGGATAAATTATGATTATATCCAAAATCAAATAAAAAAGAAAGAAAATATCCAGGTCCACACAAATGTTAGATAATTATTAATTAGTGGAATTTCCCCTATTTTAAAATAACTTTTATTTTTTACTTTTTTAAAATAAGAATTTAAGAATGATATTTATATTTATTTATAATACTCTTAAAAAAGTACAATATAAAAAATGTTTTTTATAATTAAATAATTAATTAAAATGAATAGATAATAATAATAAGGTTAAAATGAACAAATATTTATTTATTATAAAGAATAAAAAATTCAAAATAAAAAACAACAATTATTTTAAAATATAAAAACTACTCACTAATAATTATAAAAATTAATCTAAAAATTTCTTACTTTGAACTATTTAAAACTATACCAAATTATAAAACAAAATAACCTTTAACATTAAAAAATTTGTCTTCTGTGGTATAATTTAAGTGGTGTTAGATAGTTTTTTAGTTGATTTAAAATAAAAATCAAAGTCGGTTGCAACAAAAAAGCAAGGGCATTATGGTAAATGCAAGAAGCTAAGAAGGAGACGGCCGTTAGAGACAGTTAACGATGATGATAATGATGTTTCAAAAATTGAAATTCAGTTCCGTTATAGTCGTTGGATCAGTCAAAGCCTATATAAAGCCAACGGCTACATTACCGTTTCCTTCTCCTCTTTCTCTCTCTCTCACCTCACCGACGACGAAGACGACGACGACGACTTTTTTATCGCCAAGAAGTTCGGACCATTAGAACCGTCCAAACTCCAATCTGGGCAAATGATGGCTACTATTCTTAGTTTCATCGCCACCTCCTCCTTCTCTTGGATTTAAATCTCTCCTCTTTTTCTACATTCGCTTTCGATTCTTTTCCTTTGGTAAAGAATCCGCTCTCTCCCTGGGCAATTCCTCGTTCCTTCCACATTTCCTAGTTTCTCATTCACCTCTTCACAATCGGCAGCATCATTTCGCCTCTCTCTTCCATTTTCTTCAATCTGCATAAGATTCTGAATCATCTCCATTCCTTTGATTCAAAAGCTTGCAGTAGCAGATATCTCGTATTTGAAACCTGAAACTGAAAATTTTTCAAAATTTTTCAGGTTCTGGTTTCTGGGTGTTGAAGGTATTGGTTTTGGTTGTTCGTTTTGAGAGAGCTTAGGTATTTGGTTTCATTTCTCTGGAGGGTTTCTGGGCAATCCTCCCTTTTGTGTAAATATTTTTTTTTTCTTTTTTCTTGCTTTTCCATCTCCTGAGTCGGGGTTAGTTTTTTTTTGGGTCTTGAGGTACAGGAAGTGCTCAAGTTGAATTTTTTATTACATATTCGGAGAGGAAAGATTGTGTTGTCTCCAAAAAATCTGTTTTTTTGCAGAATGTGTGTTGGGGATGTTGCTCTGAGCCCGGTTCCACAAGAATCGGCTCCTGGGTATTGCAACAAGCAACCTGGGATTTGCCCTAGTAGTGAGTCCATCTTGATATACCTCTCTGTCGGCGGTTCAAAGATTCCAATGAGTGTGTTGGAGTCAGACTCAATAGCCTCAGTGAAGCTGAGGATCCAGATATGTAAAGGGTTTGTAGTGAAAAAGCAGAAGCTTGTTTATGGAGGCAGAGAGTTGGCTCGTAACGATTCGCTTGTTAAGGACTATGGTGTCAAGGGAGGCAACGTCTTGCATCTGGTTCTCAAGCTCTCTGATCTCTTGTTCATCACTGTAAGGACCGCTTGTGGGAAAGAATTCGAATTTCAAGTTGATAGATATAAAAATATTGCGTATCTCAAGCGTAGAATTGCGCAAAAGGGAAAGGGGTTTCTGGATGCTGTTGATCAGGAAATCTTCTTCAATGGTGAAAAGCTTGAAGATCAAAGGCTTATCGATGATATTTGTAGGGATAACAATGCTGTGATTCATTTGTTGGTACAGAAATCTGCCAAAGTGAGGGCTAAGCATATTGAGAAAGATTTGGAACTCTCAGTTGTTGCGGAGAATGAGTCCAATGAGGGGAGAGATGGTGAAGTAGGATCGACTGAGGAGCTCCATCTTGTGACTAAGGAGCCACCGGTTAGAGATTTTTGGTTGGAGCCGGTTGTTGTTAATCCTAAAGTCAAATTGCCCACTTTCATTTGGGACATGATTAATTCTACATTTGATGGTCTTGAGAGAGGGAATCAGCCCCTCAGATCATCCGAGGGAACAGGAGGAACTTATTTTATGCAGGACAAAAAGGGGCTTAAAAATGTCTCTATCTTTAAGCCTGTTGATGAGGAGCCAATGGCTGTGAATAATCCCCAAGGACTACCTGTTTCCAAAGATGGTGAAGGATTGAAGAGGGGGACTAGGGTTGGAGAAGGAGCTCTGAGAGAAGTTGTAGCATACATATTGGATCATCCCAAGAGTGGGCGTCGCTTGTTATCTGGGGAGATGATGGGGTTTGCTGGTGTACCCCCTACTTGCATGGTTCAGTGCTTGCACAAAGGATTTAACCATCCAGATGGATATAAATGTGCAACGGAAAACGTTAAGGTTGGATCTTTACAGATGTTCATGAAGAACTATGGGAGTTGTGAAGACATGGGGCCTGGGGCTTTTCCTGTTGAGGAGGTACACAAGATCGGTGTGTTTGATATAAGAATGGCAAATGCAGATAGACATGCTGGTAATATCTTGATTGGCAAAGGGGAAGATGGTCAGACTACCCTTATTCCAATTGATCATGGCTACTGCCTGCCAGAAAATGTGAGTTTCTTTCATTATCATGATCATGCAATTTATTTTTGTGGATTTATGGTACTCATACATGTGAATGTGAATCATCAGATGATATCCAGTCATTTTAGCGTGTAGTCTAGAAATCTTTACATTACTGGGAAGGATGCCTGATTTGTCCTTCTCCAGACCTGTTTAGGATTCCAGTTCCCCGTGGTTTGTCGATTGGTATCTGGACATCAGGATTGGACTAGATAGAAGAATATAGCTGCTTGTATCATGTCTATTGTGATTATTGGGTAGCTTTTGAAACTTGATTCTTCCAGAAAACATGTCTCGTCCAATACTTCACTATGGCAAAATCTAGCATGTTTCGCCCAAGACTAGATAAAAGTAACAAGGCCATTTGATCTCTTTAACTTACTATTTCTTCTTTTCTGCACAGTTTGAGGATTGCACATTCGACTGGCTTTACTGGCCACAAGCGCGACAGCCTTTCTCTCTAGACACTATTGACTACATAAACTCTCTGGATGCAGAGAAAGATATTGCACTTTTGGAATTCTATGGATGGGATATTCCCCTCAAGTGTGCCCGAACACTCCGGATTTCCACCATGCTTTTGAAAAAGGGGGCAAAGAGAGGTCTCACTCCCTTTGCTATAGGAAATATCATGTGTAGAGAAACCATTAACAAGCAATCTGTTATTGAGGAGATTGTTCATGAAGCGGAAGAATCCTTGCTTCCCGGGTTGAGTGAAGCTACATTTCTTGAAACTGTTTCTCAAATCATGGATACTCGGCTGGACAAGCTTGCGGTGGAGTAAAACTTACCTGGTGCATAGCATAGGTAATTTACTTTGAATGTATTAATTGCATAGTCAGTCCATTTTTGGATGGACTGCAGGTCTGCGAATTGGAAGATGGGTTTATCTTATCTTCGCATGAGCCTGAAGCTTTCCTTTTTCTTTTTCAAGTTTGTTACTTGATATTGTATTTGGTATGTTGAACAGAAGTAAGATGATAAATAAAATATGTACTAAGAATGAAATAGAGTGCAGAGGCTCTGTGTGCTCTAGCTCGACTAGGAGCCATGAACCCTGCATCCAGGCGTGTCTTTAATCCAAGAAAAAAAAATTGTTTTTAGTTCCTTATTCTTTGATTCTTTGATTATTTAAATTTTGCCAGCACCAAAAGCAAAGAAACAGGAGCCTGAAACATAAACAGAACGGCATCCAAAATCTGCCTAGCCTTTATATATATATATATATGTAAATCTTTATGAATTTACTGTTTTATAATTTGAACAATAAAACAAGAACTACAGGACAAGGGGGAGAACTTTTTTTTTTTTTTTGAACAAATTTACACGATACTGAAATTGAGCCGTTGCCTTAAGGGAAAGGGGTATGCACTTAATAGGTGGTCTGAGGTCACTAAGCCGAAAGCCCAAGTGCAGGATAAGGGGGAGAACTTGAATATCAAAAAAGTCCAAAGATATATATTTGACAATTTAATACAGGACAGATTGTTCAAATAGTGTTACAAATCCCTTATAAACTAGCACGCAGGGATGGGTATTGCAAATTTCTTTTGGGAACAGAAAAGCAGCTCAATATGTTTACAAGAAGATGGTGCTGTTTACACTTTGGCCCCATGATTATGACTACAGGATGCAGCCTCATTCTCCCTTCTCAATTTATTGCATGTTCTGCACTTCCTCCGCTGCTATGGCATCGAATGTGATGAGAGTACTGATGGTGACTCCATTGTTGTTCCCTTCTTCTGCACCCACCAGGCCACCACATCCATTTCCCGCCATTTTTTGCACGTGAAAAGAAAACAAAGAGGAATCTAATTCATTCAGAAAGTTTTGTCCTGGACTGTAGCTTGGGAATTGGAAGATGGGTAGAATTTTAAACTTTAGGCCAAACGCCCTATTTGAGATTGAGAATTAATATGAGATGAGATCAAAACAATCAAAAGGCAAAAAGCTTAGTTTGAAAAAAACATAGGAAAACAAAATCTATACTATCAATATGTAGTATCAAAGAAAAAAGTGAAAATTAAAATATTTTGATATTTTAATTTTTATAACTCTTTATGAAATTTTTTAAATATCTTTAATGAATCTATAATTTTTTTATATATGTTAATTCATTAAGAATATTTTTAGTTTTTTATTATTAGTTTTAAATTTTTAATATTTAATTGTTAGAATGTCTCCATTTTCTTTAATCTTATAAAAAAAAAAAAATTCAAACGCAAAACATGCAAATTTTCATTTATAGGCTTTAGCAAGTTCTTATCTATATTTCATATCTCAAAATTCATTCTCCTCCTCCTTTAAACCTTACTACTCGCCCACCTTCTCTCTCTTTTTCCTCTTTAATTATAACTCTCCCTAAAGTTTCCACTTTTTTCTCTACCATGTCTAATGATCCAACATTTTCTGCATCCTTCTTTCGGTTGATACCTTACCAGAAAGACCAAACCCTCAATTCTAAGCATCATGAAGCCCACAAAACCCAAATCTCCAACAATGACAAAAACCCAAATAAAAAACAAAAAAAGTACTATTATTTTATGTATTTAACGTTTTTCAATTTAGATTATATATTAAAAATATAATTTAAATATTAAAAATTTTAAAGTAATAATAATTAATAAATATATAAAATGATTACATTAAAAATATTTTATGTACTTATGTACATTATGGCTGATTAAATAATGTAAGTTCTCATGAATGTAGAAAAAAATATATAATTATTTTATTAGAAATATTTTAAAATTTTTAATATTTAGAGTGTCCTTTTAATGTATAATAATATAATTTTTTTATTTTAATTATACAATAAAAAATAATTATTTTTTATTTTTCATATCATATCACTAAAATTCATGACTTTTTACTATCAATACCTCGCATTGAAAAAATATATATACTTAATTATTTAAGTTATTTGTAATGTATAATAATATTAAAAAAGCACTTTTTATTTTTTTCTTTTCTTTTCCGAATAGTGACTTCTTTTTCACATCACATTGACACCACAGATTCCATTTTCTTCCATTTTTCACTTGAGCTTGTAGACACCAAACTCCAATCCATCCATTCCAGGTTGCTCTTTTTAGATTAAAGTATGCAGAGAAGCACGAGAGGCAAGCCTCAGAGGCCTCCATCGGGCCGAACAAATCTTGCATCCTGTATAGTTGCTACAATTTTCCTCATCTTCATCGTGATAATAGTGTTCATAGTTTACTTCACCGTTTTCAAGCCCAAAGATCCCAAGATCTCTGTCAACGCTGTGCAGCTGCCGACCTTCTCCATCGCTAACGGCACCGTCAACTTCACCTTCTCCCAGTACGCCACCGTCAACAACCCCAACAGAGCCGCTTTCTCTCACTACGACAGCACCATCCAGCTCTTCTATTCGGGTTCTCAAGTGGGTTTCATGTTCATACCCGCCGGCAAGATCCAGGCTGGTCAGACCCAGTACATGGCCGCCACTTTTGCGGTCCAATCCTTCCCGTTGGCGCCTAAAGCGGAAGCGGGAGCGGGAGCGGGAGCGGGAGCGCAGGCGGTGACTGTTACAGGCCCCATCGGGCTTCCTTATGGGTTTAACGGTTTCCCGAGTAATGGGTATCCGGCTGGACCGACGATGGAGATCGAGTCGAGGATGCAGATGGCAGGTCGGGTTAGGGTTTTGCACTTCTTCACACATCATGTGGAAGCAAAATCAGAATGCAGAGTGGTTATTGCAGTGAGTGGTGGATCTGTGCTAGGCTTCCACTGTTGATTCTTTTTCTCTAACCTTTTTCGTACCCTGTAGTTGCAGCTCTTATTAGTATTTCTCTCTCTCTCTCAGTTTTGGAGGATATGCAAATTGGGTGCTTTCAATTTGTTGAAGTGTAAAGATTGAATCTTCCCTAATTTTGAAGTAAGATCCTTCAGTTAATTCTTGAGAAATCCATCATTTTTTTTTTTTGGAGGATTTGGGTTGGGTGTTCGAATTTGTGTGAACCTTTTTTTTTTCAAGAAGAAGAAAGTGTAAAAACAGAAATTTTCTTCTTTTCCCTTCATTTTCAAGTTAAGTTCCTTCCTTTGTCATTTTTTTTCACTAGAACTTTAGCATACTTGTATCTATATGGGGTTTGTTAGTTCTTTCTTTGTATCTTTTGGTTTGAAAAAAAAAAAAGTTAGTTGTATCTGAATCTTCTTCAAGTGTTAAATAATAAGCTTTGAGTGTGCATGATTATGAAAGAAGCAGGAGGAGAGATTACTGAAAAGGGAGGTGAGCTTTGCTTCTTTGTTCTGTGTATAATTAATTAATCGCCTTCGGAGAGTAATTTACCGTAGCCTGGAATGGGAGAGTAAGTAAAAGTTGTTGTTGGGTGAGGCTTTGCATTTACCTCTACTACAGTTAAGGAATGATGATGGGATCATTAAGACTGAGGCATAATGCTGGAAAGCAAGCAGCGCGAAATTCCGCTTCCTTTTTCCTTTCCCCTGTTATTGAGGGAAATCCCAAATCTAATTTAGTGCTTTTTAGAGAGGTCACGACGTCGTTTTGGAAAGAGCAACAGAATAGAGTTTGGGGATCTTCACTTTCATGGATAGGTGTGAGGGGAACTTTGAAATTTTGTCAAGTAAAGGAAGTTTAACAGTTGGTGGGACCAAAATTCCCCGGAGACAGTATACCCTACCTAGACATTGATATCATTATTTTTAGTCCCAGTTTTCCACTTTCTCGAGATCAGAGCGTCTGCTTTTTGACTTTTCTCAATTCTATATTTCCAAGTGTAATAAGTAACTTTAGAAATTTGATCACCATTTCCTTCCACTCTTTTTCTTTTTCTAGTACTAAATTTCAGGAGTTAAACAGCTGCTTAAGGGAAAAAAATAATTCCTCGTTTCAATTATTTGAGCGGGGGAAGCTGTTTGTGGAAAAACATAAACTTCTGTGGGTCAAGTTTGTCTATTTTTGCTTCGCTTTTACATGAAAGTGGATTCAATGGTGGAGACTGGAAGTTTGTGGGAGAAGGCTGGATGATGGTCTCTTTCTCTTGTTGCCAACAAATATACAGTCGGTGCTCAGAAAAAACTGGTGGAAACAGAAAGGAAAAGGACCCACCTTTACAAACCTAATTTTTTTGAACACAATGGTATATTCGAAAATGCCAAGGGATGAAAGCCAGATTCCAATTGCATTACTAAACAAATCAACACGCTCCATTCAGAATGATTGATGCTCCATCATCTTTTAAGCAAGAGTTCAAAACAAACAAATCCCACTCACGTAATTGGTTCGCAATTCGCATACAATCCATTGAAAATTACATAACGGATGAGGTAGATGGATCTATATGCATTTGTACAACATATTCCGGACGTCCTCTTTGTATTCATGTGCATAGTATATCACTAAAATTTGCCCGCACCTGTAAGGCTTGGAGTGATCGGGTCCCCACCACTGGTCAATACCATGAGCATTCTTCAAATCCTCCAGAAATTGATTTGACTGTCTGGTGGCATGGTGCTGCAGTTTCTGAATCCCTCCCCATCCATCCCCACTGCACTCATGAGTAGAGATCTCCTAATGAGTGCTGTGTTGCTAGCTTTTCAATATGTCCAGCTCCGATTTCCTCCATCTTTCCCCCATTCTCAAAATAACCAAGATTTTCATATGCAGTCTGCTGGATTAATAAATAGACGAGGCACCCATGCAGACAGAGCAGCAAATGGATCTTCAGAGTTTAGAATGCAGACACATTCCTTTGATTGTGATTCTTAGCTTTCATAGTGAGAGCTGGTTCTACTGTGCTTACACTGCTTGCAATTCGGATCCCATTCTACACATTCTCATAATATTTGATTCTCTCAATTGGGTTAGAAAGATTCGCCAAATAATGTGGGAAGCATGCATTGTCTAGGCATTTGACAATAAACAAATAGGGTTTTGTCCTTTGTATCTGAATCCGCCACTTTGGATGGATTTGCTAAATCCCATAACTTGGGAAGCTCCAGCCTCCAGCTCAATCGTAAAGTTTAAAGCCCTAGCTTGAGCATCTCAACACCACACTCAGTTAGCACCCACTTAAAGTTAGAACCTGTTTGCATTTTCCTCTCTATTCCCCTTTTTAAACCCCGATGTCTTCTCCTTTCCCTCCCCTGTTTTCTTTTTTTTTTTTCCTTTTTTCTGGCAAGTTTGATGATAACCATACAAGAATAATCCTCCCTTCTCAAACCCCTATATCAAGGCAGGCAAGCACAGATTTCATATGATTTGTGTACCGATTAAAGATATTATAAATGTAGCATACACAAACCCAATCAAGTCAAGTCACCCAGTGAAAGACGACTGAACATATATCTCGGCTCCTTCATAGCCAAATAAAGTACAATAAAATACCCCGTTCCCATTTTGCCATAGTATGACAATTAGATACAAAATGAAAGAATGATATCTTGCCTCAAGTCAAAATCCTTTCATAAAAGCGTGTCTACTTGGACCAAGCAACAGCATCAATTTCTGCTTGTGCACTCCTGTACAGTTCTAACCTCTTGGCTAGGGCACTGCGTCGCTCCATGACTGCTGGATCTTCATTCAACAATGAAGATAGCCGTTTTTGCTACAAAAGTTGCTTTTATGAGTCAATCACTTGAATTGAAAAATCTACTTCCAACAATAAAACACCCAAATGTTTAAATAAACATGGTCAGAAGTATCAGTCTTATTACCTCAAGTTTTCCCAACTCAGTGAAGAAGTGGTCAAGTAAGCTTCGTTTAGCTTCTCGTACTTGACAATAAACCACAGACTTGGGTATGGAATTGCGAAGACTAGCACACACCATAGTTACGTAAGACAAAATAGTTGTTCCTGTTCATACATTGTTAGAGAACCCCTGAGGTCAGCAACATAGAAGTTTGACTGCAATAACATTTGCCTGATAAATACAATGACATTTGCACCACTAAAACTTATTCCTTTTCATTTCATAAACCTACCAATTCGCCTCAGATATGTATCATTGTATCTGTCAAAAATTGACTGCGATGGGTTTCCACCCTTCTCAACATCTTGAGGAAGCTTGCGGAAGAAATCAACAGTCAGGTAACTACATTCCATATCAACTAACTGAAGTGTTGCTTTTTTGCTTTGTTCTCTCATTCTTTCAAGTGACTCAATAGCAGCATTTCCAACCTCGACCCTGAGAGCAGGGTACTGCTTTAATTCCTGAGAACCATACCAATTTATTGTTTCATCAATCAGCTTGAAAAAAAGGAAACCACAGTAATGGGCAGAAGAAAATGGTTTGGTTTATGAGTCTACTACAAGCACAAAGGTCTTTTCATACAGGATCAAATGTGAATTACTAATTTGCTTAACAAAAAATTCAAAGCTTTCATCACTTAAAAAGCAAAGGAACCAAACAACTAGTCAACTCTTATTCTTGGTTGGATGCTCAAACCATTTTTTCTTTTGCTTCTTAACATCATACCATTCCGTTCTTTAGCAAATATAAGTATTTTACATGTTATAGCACACTAGTGTATCAGACAAGTACGTAACCACGACCCTAACAAGCCTATGGTACTTTTACAAATGAGACATTTTCACATGGGAAATTTGATTAGAGTATCTTTACACATTATATAAAGAAATAAGGACAGAAATAAGAAAAGCAAAAGAAACTGCAAAGAAAGGAACTTAGGAACATACTGGAGTCTCATTGATGGCCTTGTGAACCAGATCCTTCAACAAGGAATGAACCTGAAAAAGGTGACAAACAAATTTAATCCACTTTAAGTCTAAGCAGCATCATGCAAAATGGGAATCAAAATTTATGCACTATGCTCCCTAAGAGATTTTCTTAAAGCACTCTTTATGAGATATGATTTAACATAATCTCTATAAACCAATTTGAGCGTTTGATTTTGTACTTCTCTAAGTTGTCATTCATACCGCATCAACAGCCGCCTCAGCAGGACCTCTAATAGTCACTAGTGACGATTCAATCAGACGGCGGTATCCTTGTTCAGGAGCTATTAGATGAGGTTGATATCCATCAGCTTCGGTAATGAGCTTCCGAATATTTTCCATTGAAAGTTGCTTGTCAAATTGTAACCTTTTCAGGGCAGCAGGAAGCTGGTTATCAAACACATGGTAAATTTTATCACCACCAGGCCGCCTGTGATCAGCAATTAACATTTAAAAATAGATTAGCTATGATAACAGGGTTAAAAACTGAAGAATGCTACAAGATGACTAAAAAATGATCCACATATGATATATACTACATACACTCCATCTAGATGTTCTTTGTAAATTTGATCAAAAAGACGGCAAATCTCCATGATTGTGTACAACTTTCCCTGGATGTCACAAGCAACAACCATAAGCAATTCTTCCAGAATATATGACAGAGAATTACCCAAAGAAAAAGGAAAAAGAGCCAGAAAGTCACTTACTCCAGCATCCGCAGCAATAGGCTTTCCTAGACGACTCAATTCAGCTTCAAGTTCAGCAACTGTTTTATTAATAAGGGACTGAATGCCAGGGATTCTGGACTTGATTACAGTTTCCAAATGCTGTGAAAAGTACGTTTATGTTTAGGTTACCACAATTAGATAAAGTAATGTCCCAACCAAAGACAATCACTCTCTTCACTACAATAGAAGTGAAAGAATTTTCATGTGCATACCTTTGAGAGCATCTTAGCAAGATGCTCAGAACCCATTCTGTGGGCAAGGTGCTTATATTCTGGTGTGTTGGCAAAATACTCATGCTCTCTGCGCCGAGCAGCAATCATGTCAACGTTCTTATTTATATCCGCTTGAGAACGGTTCACAACACCAACCCATGGAAATTTTAGCCGAAAAGCTTTTCCTTCCAATATCTAAGCAAACCAAACCATTACTCAGTATCTATTGATGCAAAAGGGACATAACACTAAAAACTCTTCAATGACAGGTTTGGAACATTCTTGATAAGCAGGTGCTTTTGAGAAAGTAAAACTTGCAACAAATTGTGCCATGTATAGATGAACCAAATCCACTGGACTACCACATTGTATTCTGATATCAAATAAAACTAGAATTAAGCAACTTACATCAACTGCATTGGTACCCTTGTCCATCAGATCAATCTTTGTCAAAACTCCAAATGTCCTCTCCCCTACAAATTTTATAACAGCAAATGATTATTGGGAAAATCTGAAGGATCAAATGTGCTTGGTCTACAGCAATAATTCTTTCTAGCATACACAACCCCAGAGTCAAGAGTTAGCCTACCAAAAAGGAAACGTTTTTGTAATGAAATTCATAAATTTGAAGAAAATTAAATGCACCATCCTATTGGGGAAAAATAACAGAATTAGAGAAAATGGAAGTATGAGTAGCAGAGCAGGAAAATGATTATGGCAGATAAAACTTGCTACTACAAAAGCTTACCTGTAGGGTCCACCTCACGCGATATTTTAATTGCATCCGATGTAGCCAAATCTTGATTAGCGGGTGAAATTGCTAAAATTATACAGTTTGGCTGCATAACAGATTCATTGAATAAAACAATACATCATTAAAAGCTTAACTGTAAAAGGGTTGGTAGCTAGCTAGCTAATCATTCAATTGCAAATACCTTCTCAATGTAAGACCGGACCATATTCTCAATATCCTGCACAATGCTATCCTGTTGACCCTCTATATTGTACAAGATAATCTGTTAGTCTCTTATAACGTAAAAAACATGTAATGAAGAGCTTAACTCAGTCTATTGCAATGAAAAGTGGGTAAACAAAGGGGGATAGTTTGAAGATAAACAAAAGAAGAATCAATTGAGTTTAACCTTCTTTCTTTTTTTAATTAGTTAGTCTTCTACCAAAAAAAGAAAAAAAAAAAAGAAAACGGAAAGCCAACATTTCAAACCAATGTTACTTACCAACTGCAACCTTTGTTAGTCCAGGAAGGTCAATCAGCGTCAAGTTGACAACTACCACAGATAAATAAGATCCCATCAATTTGAGGAACTAGTAAAGAAGACACAGACCGGATAATGATGCAACTATATAATTATTTAGAATAAAAAAAAAAACCATCTGGATGTTACCATTAGGAGAATATATGCTGAGATGAATTGGAACACTGGAGATTTGTTTGGTTCGACCAGTCTCTCGATCCGTCTCATCTTGAATTTCTTTCCTCACAGCAGCTACAAAGATATATATAAACATGTAAAACAGCTCAGGTGTATGCATTACATTAAATTGCATAATAACAGTCAAATCCAACACACACACTTTTTATATGAAGAAACAAAAATACCTACCAAAATCAGTGAACCTTTTTCTCGGAAGGTGGAGAAACTCCGCGTACTCTCTACTGCCTTCATCAATCTTATGGAGTTGCAGCACAAGAGGTCGCCTGGTAACAATCCCTGCAAAAGATTGCGCTTATAATTATCTCAGCATCAGATGAAAAACTGCGATAAAAAAAAAAGTTCCTTCCAGGAATGTGAGCCATTATGCTGTACAAATTTTACCAGATCCACGAGGTAAGAAATCCTTGCCGACAATACTCTCCAACACCGAAGACTTTCCCGAACTCTGCAACAACAACCAGAACGGTTAGTGCTGAGCTCAGTCCTCAAATACATAGCATATTCCTTATAAATCACTAAGGAATTCAGTTACTAAATTCCAAACAATAGATTTTAAGCTCCAATAAATTTCAAGCTCAAAGCTACAGCTCCAGTTTGGAAGTCGTAGGCTTAGATCAAGCAGAAAATACAAAAAGAAAAGGTCGAGAGCTGACCTGACCACCGACGACGGCGATCGCTGGCAACGAGTCCCAAAGAGTAGGCAATGCAGATGCTTCTCCGTGGTCGCCTAGAGCCGTGCAGGCTCTCTGTATCTTGTTCACTAGAGAAATCAAACTCTCCATCTTTGCTTCTTCTTTTTTTCTCGATCGGATCTGTCGACGGAAAGAGCGAGATCTGGGTGATGAGAAGAGAAGGAGATCGAGGCACTCAGAGTCTCAGGCTGTGTGTTTTTGAAATTTTGAGAAATGGGTGCTTCTGTCTGGTGACAGAGGCTTTTCAAAGGGGAGCGCCCTTTTTGTTTTTTGTTTTTTTTAACCCAACGGGTGTGAAGTGGCCACACTGTTAAAAGCGACACATATAATTGTGAGGGTGTTAGGTCAGCCTTAACGACATTTACTTTAAAAGTATTTTTTATTTTTAAATTTTAAATTTTAATTAAAAAATTTTTAAAAATATTGTTCGAAATAAATTTTAAAAAA